TCGATAGTTTGGACTGTGACTGTTTAGGCTCTCTTGCATTTCAGGAAATTTTGCAAATGCTGGTTTGCTGAACCATGTTAAGCGCTGGTTGTCGAGAAACCTCAAGAAAGTGCGAGAATCTTTTTAGTAATTTTCTGATTCACATTTCGAATCTTAGACTTTTTTTTTTTTCAAGATCCGGTCAGTATAATGGCCACCCAAACGATCTCCAGGAATACATCGAAAAGGTGGACCTCAGCAATATCAAAAGCTGCGTGATGGCTGTACAAACTCTAGTATTCAGGTAGCTCACGGTCTTCTGTTTTTTAGCAAAAATGCGCCCGGATTTAACCAACAGAACTTCCCGCCTGCATGAACTCCCTCTGTGCATAATAATAATAATCATAGGCGGATCCAGGACGAAGTCTTGAGGGATGGGGGGAGGGGGGGGAGGAGACGGGGTGGGAAAGACAGTCCCCCTCTCACCCCAGAACAATGCAAAAACTAGGAATACAGTTGTAGCTTTAGCTTTAAGTCAGAACTTTTGTAGCACTGGTGCTTGTGCCGTCGGCGGGAGGAAGTGGAAGACCGTAGCACCCCTCCCCCTCTCTTCCCCTTGATCCGCTTATGCTAATAATCCTACTAATAAGTACTGCTTGAACTTCACTGTCACGCACGAGAGTGTGTACGGTAACATTTTATTCACGTGAAGAAAAACTTAACAAAATTCAGACGCTTTAAATTGGATTAGTGATCCATTTCGAAAGCGGGCCATGTGCACGGACAAGTTTGCATGTTGCACCATCCGGTTCCAGACGTCCCTCACCACGCATCTGCTCGTATTCCTCTTTGTCCCACCTGGTGAAACCCCATTTTCTGGACACAACAACAAGCTGACGTCCCGGAAACTTGAATTTTGCTCTTCGAAAAGCTTCCACCGCATGCTCTTCATGCTAAACAGGCACAACCTTAAGTCACAATCTTGATAAGTGATGGAAAGCACTGTGAGACTAATGCAATTATACGTTTCTGAGATAAGCTTTTGCAGGCCCACAGTAAATGAATGCTGTAAAACATAAACCCTCTCATAAAGGGAGGAGAAGGAAGGGGGGGGGGCATACGGAGGATTTTGATTTTCTAACTTTAACAAACCA